GTCCAAAGTGTAATTGGAGAGAGTTTGGTGAGTGTTTTAAAGTTGGAGGGGTAGAAGGAGGTCAAATCTTGAAGGTCTTTTTGGTTATTCTAAGTATAATGGAAAGCCAAGGAAGTGTTTTAAGCAGAGTTATTGCATGTTCTGCACTACATTACACACACAACCCACAGATCATTACATGGAAAATAGATTATCATTTATATATTGACAGGTTCATATGCAAATACTAGACAAAAAAATGATGGAGGAATTGTGTCCCCTTCTGTGAGTTATAAATTGTTGGTGTTGAACCCTTAGAAAGCACCCTTAGAAAACTAGACATGGCCTTTTCATGTCATTAATGTTCTCTGTTCTCTCAAGAGAAATCCAAACTTTATTTCAGCACGTGGTCCTAAAGCTACAGAGGTCAATATGTSATAAAGTGACTGCAAGTAAATGCTTGGATAAGGGTGTGACGAGTGCACCATCGAAAAATATGTTTCTCAAACTTCGGGATGGTAATTCCCAAGTCCAACTTTAAATTCCTTTCATCCCAGGGGCCCAGATTCGTTCAGCATGTCCTCTCGTCTCAGAAAACAGTAAATTRGGCTGGTTCAGGCCATGAGCTCCGCGGCCGAGGCAATTCCCCAGCTGGCTGCCCATCTTCAGTAGTCTGGCTGCCATCAGCTGTAGCTCAGTTACCTGGTCRTAGTTGGGAGACATTTCCCACGCCGAGGATGCCCACCCCTTGCCGATGCGCCTGCGCTTGGGCCGGCCGGGGGCGGGGCTTGCGTGCTGACGTTMAGGGCCGCGCGAGGCGGCCAACTGTAACGGTTGCTGGGCTTCGCACCTGAACAGTTGTTGGTGTGTTTTTCTGGGGTCACTTTTTACTTTCTTAAAGGTGGCGCGTTGTGCTTTGGGGGTYGTATGTACTGAATTGAGCCAAGAAGAGCGTTTGTGAGCGTCTGGTGCTGAGTGAAAATAGTGGCTGGGAACGAGGAGGGTTTAGAAATCGTTGGTGCCCCGTTCCCTACCACTGATTATTTATTGAGTGTTCCTTGCTTTACCCCACACTCTTTGACCAGGATTTTTTTTCTTGGGTTTCTTTCCACCTCTGTGTCTTCCATTCTGCGAACTCAAAAGGTAGTKCCTTAGATATCGTAACTGTGAAAGGGATGGATTTAGGGAGTTTGATTCCACGAAATTGCATTCTCTCTGTTAGGTTCTCGAAATGTCAACTGTCAAGGAGCAGCTTATTGAAAATCTAGTTGCAGAAGATGCAGTCTCCCAGAGGAAGATCACCATTATTGGATCTGGTTCTGTAGGCATGGCTTGTGCTATTTGTATCTTACTGAAGGTAAGTCATAAGCCCATCCTGCTGCTGAAAATCAAGTAAGCACTTTTAGGAGTTGTACCTGTTGCGTTCAAAGTTTCAGGACTGTGGCCTTGACAACAAATATGTATCCTTTCATATCTGATTTTGACACAATTTAAAAAACATTTACTTTGAGCTAAATGTGTGTCAGGCATTGCTAGACTATTTAAATTTACTTACAGGATTACTCTGTTATTTAACAATTTCTGTAGAAATGATTCAGTATCTTGCATTCCTTGAAGATAAGTCAGTGAAAAATCATATATTCAAAGGGCTTATACTTCAAATCTTTTGCTTTTGCTTTGTCTTTTCTGTTCAGAGCATCTTTTCAAGTGTTTATTGGCCATGTGTATATCATCTTTGGATAAATATTCAAATCCTTTGTCCATTTAGAAAACTCAGGGCTTTTTTTGTGTGTGTGTGTGTGTGTGTGTGTGTGTGTGTGTAAAACTCAACCCAGGGGTACTTATCTCTGAGCCAAATCCCCAGCCTTTATTTTATTTTGAGACAGGGTATCACCAAGTTGCTTAGGGCCTTGCTAAATTACTGAGACTGGCTTTGAACTCAGGATCCTTTTGCCTCAGCCTCATGAGCAGCCAGTATTACAGGCCTGTGCTGAGGCAGCTGGCAGGGATTTTTTTTTTTTTGATTGTTGGATTGTTGGAGTTCTTTATATATTCAGATATTAACCACTTATCAGATAGATGATTTGCAAATACTTTCATTCCATGAGTTCCTTTTCCACTCTGTTGCCTGTGTCCTTTGATGCACAGACGTTGTCAAATTTAATGTCTAATTTATTTTTACTTTTGTTGCCTATGCTTTTGTTGTATCCAAAAAAAAGCATTGCAAAATTAAATGTCAGGAAGCTTCCATGTTTTCTTCTAAGAGTTTTATAGTTTTAGATGTTATGTTTATATTTTTGATCCATTTTGAATTAACTTTGTATTTGGTATAAGGTTAAGGTCCATGTTTGTTCATTGACATGTTAATATCCAGTTCTTTCAATATCTTTTGTTGAAAAGACTATTCCTTCCCCTTTATCTTGGCATCCTTGTTAAAAATTTGAGTCTCATTATGTTCTTCTAGCCTATATTATATCTGTCTTTATGCTGTACCACACTATTTTATATTAAGTTTTGAATTCAGGTAGTATGACACCTCCCACTTTGTTCTTTTTCAAGATTACTTTGACTTTTTTGGTCCTTTTAGATTCAAAGTCAATTTGGGATGAGTTTTTCTATTTCTGAAAAATAACATCTTTGGAATTTTGATAGACTAGCACTGAATCTGTAGATTGCTTTGGGTAATATTGACATCTTAATATTTTAATAATATTGTCTTCCAATCCATAAACATGGGATATCTTTCTGTTTATTTACGTCTTCCTTAAATTTTTTCAGCAACATTTTGTAGTTTTTCTTTTCTTTCTCCTTCTCCTTCTCCTTCTTCTTCAACCCAGGGATGCTTTACCTTTGAGCCACATCCCCAGCCCTTTTTAAAAATTTGAGCCAGGGTTTTACTAAATATTTGGGCCTCACTAATTGCTGAGGCTGACTTTGAACTTGCAATCCTCTTGCCTCACCTCTCAATTTGTTGGGATTATAGGCATGTGCCACTGCACCTGGCTGTAATTTTTAAGTGTGGAATCTTTTACCTCAAGTGTTTTTTAAATGTACTACTTAACCTTTATAACAACTTTTAGAGGTAGGTACTGTTACTTTTTCTATTTATAAATAAGGATATTAAAGCACAGATGTTAAGTAACTTAGAAATATTGAAACAACTAGTAGGTAGAAGAGCTAGGATTGAAATCATGGCAGTTTGAACACAGACCCTGTGTTCTTAAGTCCTTTACAATTTTTAGACAACTTTTGGAAACTTGCAAGGGGAGATTACAAGAAGAAGCAAAGTCAATTTAATTCCAGAATCCTGGAAAGGCTCAGGAATTGGAAGTACCAGTCACCTCATAAGGTGGAGGTGAGGAATGGGACTAAAAACATGAGGACTGGTTGAAAGTTTACATGAGGAGAAGGAAAACCAACAAATTCTCTTCCCTAGCTTAATCAACTCGACACCCACCTCTCTCATCCTAGCAGGCAAGAGAAAGGAGGTTATTATTTGGAGAAATTGAATGATGTGGGCTGGGGATGTGGCTCAAGTGGTAGCGCGCTTGCCTGGCATGCGTGCGGCCCAGGTTCGATCCTCAGCACCACATACAAACAAAGATGTTGTGTCCGCCGAGAACTAAAAAATAAATATTAAAATATTCTCACTCTCCCTCCCTCCCTCTCTCTCTTTCTCTCTCTCTCTCTCACTCTTAAAAAAATTAAAAAAAAATTGAATGATGCTCTGCACCGAAGACATCAAGGACAGTAAAGCATTATTATTTTTTTTTAAAGAAAGAGTGAGAGAGGAGAGAGAGAGAGAATTTTTAACATTTTATTTTTTAGTTCTCGGTGGACACAACATTTTTGTTGGTATGTGGTGCTGAGGATCGAACCCGGGCCGCACGCATGCCAGACAAGCGCGCTACCGCCTGAGCCACATTCCCAGCCCAGTAAAGCATTATTGATAATGGGTGTATTACTGAAAGCCATAGGATTAAGTGAAAGTTTATATGTTGAATAATGAGGTGAAAAGATTTTGCTCCCAAGAAATTACTAGAAAGCTGACTGTCAGGGAATAGAATATAGAAAAGAGATGAAATTAGAGGTTTAATCAGTAGGTTCAAGAGGTGATTAATTGATGTTTCAGTATGAAACAAGAAAGATAGGTTAATTATTAAGGGGATTAAAAAAAGTTTAAGTAAATTATTTAAGGAGATAAAAAATTCTAAAACTGAAGGATATGGATTTATAGATACAAAGAATTCACTGAATTCTATCATTATTATGGATCCAAAAAAGCCTACTCCAATACATATTATTATGAAATTTCAGAACTCCAACTGTGGGAGAATAGCAATTTTTGGAGCCCCCCCGCCTTTTTAACAAGAATTCACTATACTGTGGCAGATAGTAAAATGGAACAGAATATTCAAGGCCTTTTTTTCAGATTATATTGATGTATTGTGTGTGGAAAATAATGAAGGATATTAAAATGCACATATTCATATGCATTAAAATATGCATTAAAATATTCTGGGCTGGGGTTGTGGCTCAGAGGTAAAGCACTTGCCTAGCATGCCTGAGGCCCTGCATTCAATCCCTGGCACCACATAAAAGTAAACAAATAAAGGTATTGTGTCCATCTATAACTAAAAAAATATTTTAAAAAATATATTCATTTYGATATGAAGGGACAAGGACTGTAATGAGTATCATGACATCTGCATATGTCATTGAGAAGTGGACTTTAAAGCATTTTTAAGGTCATGTAGGAGTTGGGGATGTGGCTCAGTGGTAGAACACTTGCCTGGCATGGGTGAGGCCCTGAGTTTGATCCCCAGCCCACCAGGGGAAAAAAAAAAGACCTATAAMGTTTTTAGAAGTGACTAGCAGTACATCCTATTTTGTGTCCTATTTAAAGTAATCATAGTAGTTTTCCTTAAACTGATTTGAATCCTCTGGTTCTCCTGTTCTTTTTATCTTACCGTGGTTACTCTGGTACTTCCTGGAGAAAAGATTCTGAGACTATCATAATTGTTTTTTTCTCCCATCATGCTAAGTAAGTGTTCTACCACTGAGCTACATTCCCAGCCCTTTTGAAAACTTTACRTTGAGGGACTAGGGTTGTGACTTAGCGGTAGGGTGCTTGCCTAGCATGCACAAGGCCCTGGGTTCARTCCTCAGCACCACATAAAAATAAATAAATGAATAAAATAAAGGTATTGTGTCCAACTACAACAAACAAACAAACAAACTTTACGTTGAGACAGGGTCTTACTAATTGACCCAGGCCAGCCTTGAATGAAATCCTTCAGCCTTAGCCTCCCAAGTAACTGGGACTACAGGTGTGTGCCACTGCACATAATAACTATTCTTATAAATTCTGCCAGGCTAAGCAAGCCCAGGCTCTTTCTTTGAAATTCTTTTTGAGAAATATACTCACAAACATGTAGTTCATGTCCCCCCCCCCCCAGGGCTGGGAATCAAACTCAGGGTCTCACACATGCTAGAAAAGCACTTTACCACTGAGCTACACACCCATACCTGTAGCTAATAAAAAATAAGCCAACAATGTTTAAGGATTATTTGAGCATTGTGTTTAACAGTCAAGACAAATGGAGCTATTAACATTCCCTTGATAGGAGAATTGTCTGGAAACCTGTTCAAGTTTTAAAGGAAAATTGTCCTAATTATTAAATTATTGTCACTTCCCAAACTTTCTATATTTTGCTTTGTGACATTGGCAGTGAGCCTCTGCATATTTTCCTCCTTTCGCAGTTTGCATCTGCCAATAAGAGGTACTGCACAGAAATTGTTTGCTTGTTGTTCTGGTCACTGATATTCCAACTAGTGTCTTTTGCCCAAGTATTAGAAGTTGGTTCTAGTCTCGATTCTTTTGGAAGTCCCAGCATTGGCCTCATCTTTCTTCCTCGGTGGGATCGTCAGCAGTCAGGTTTTTTCTCCCACGGGGTCTGAGCATGGCTCCATGAAGCACCTCCTTTGCTTTGTTTCTCTGTTTCCTCAGCTTTAGGGATGGTAGGTTCTAACTCATTTGCTATTTCTGGGTTACTCCATATGTTCCCTTTTTACTCTTTCAGCCCTGCAGTATTTGTCTAACCAATTCCTTATTTAAATTCCCTCTATTAAAATAAAGTGTTTTTCTGACCAGATACAGAGAGACACAAGCTGATGTAAAAATGAATCTATAGATATGATTTGGTTTTCTTAGCATATGTAATCCTTTTGGATGAAACTTCTTATTCTCCTCCCATTCCTGATACATGACACATAATTTAGTAAATTTATTTTTTTACTTTTATTTATTTATTTTTTTGGTACCAGGGATTGAACCCAGGGCATTTACCCACTGAGCCATGTCTCCAGCCCTTTTTGTATTTTATTTAGAGAGAGAGTCTCACTGAGTTACTTAGTGCCTTGCTTTTGCTGAGACTGGCTTTGAAGTCAGCATCCTCCTGCCTCAGCCTTCCCAGCTACTGGGATTACAGATGTGTGCTACCACACCAGGCACCCCAGCCCTTTTTATATTTTATTTTGAGGCAAGGTCTCACTAAGTTGCTTAAGGTCTTACTAAATTGCTGAGGCTGGCTTTCAACTCATGATCTTCCTGCCTCAGCCTCCTAAGCCTCTGGGATTGCAGGCATGTGCCACCAAGTCTGGCTGCCATTTTCTTTTAGAGGGTTAAGTTTCCTCAAATTTGTATCTGAGGCAGGTTCTGGAACCAATCACCTTGGATACTGAGGGTCAGACAACTCTATACAATTTTTCAGAAAGGTCAGATGGTGCCTGATCGCAACAGAACAAACAGAACAATAAACAGTAGGTAGTAGGTAGGGACTTTGAACTTCTTCCCTTACTGTTCATTATTGGACTCTGTTCACCAGAATCTAAGGGAATGCATTTGTTCTATATAGTCCTGTATTCTGGGCATATGACAAAAAAACCCAGTTGAAATTAGAATAAGCATAAAGAGACTATAAATTGTGTATCTAACTGAAAAAATCTTAAGAGCAGAACCTTAACTTCAGGTATTACTGGATCCTAGAATTCAGACATATCCAAGACAGTCTCTGCATATGTTGGTTTAGATTTCCTCTGTTAATTCTTAGGCCACGTTGTGATATTTATTTGTAAAGATGGCTGTTCAGTTTGTTCTTAGAGTCCTATGTTGTTCTTTGAGCCTGATTCCAAAGAAAAGTGAGTCTCCCATCTTCCATGTTCAAACCTCATAGACATTGTTTCATTATGTCTGGGCCATAAGCTCATTTATAAACAAGTTGCTGTGGCCAAAAAGAGAAAATTAAACAATTGGCTGGGCATGGTTTTATTTTGGAGGTCCAACATCAATTATACTGCACTTAACCACCTGTAATGAGTTCCCATTACAAAGGAATTCTACTACCAGAGAAAGGGATACTGGCCAGGTGTAGTGGCACATACCTATAATCTCAGAAGAATGGGGCAGGAGGATTGCAAGTTTGATATTAGCCTTGGTAAACAAGTGAGATTCTATCTCAAAAGGGCTGGGGATGTAGCTCAGTGGTAGAGTTCCTCTGGATTTTAGGACAAAAAAGAAAAAGAAAAAAAAAAAGAAAGGAAGGAAGAAGAGAAACAGGGAAAGAGAAAATAAAAAGTTATACTGGGGAAAGTATTAGATGTTCACCATAAGTGGCTTCCTGTTTGGCCATAAGGAGGCATACTAAAAGCATCTTCAGTCAACTCAAGAATTAGGCTTAAAGTTAAATATAATAAAACCATTTGAAAGAATTGTATACCTTTTTATTGGGTTTACGTTGATACCTGAAGGGGTAAAAATAAAACCATCCCAAACAATTCTAACAATTAGGTGAAGGCAAAACAGTTTTTCCTACTGGTCACTCTAAGAGCACATTCAGCAACTATTTTTATGTCATTTTTCCAATTAAAAATATGAGACTCCTTTGGTTATAAAGTAGCCATATGAATTATTTTCATTCTCCTAGAACTTAAGTAGGAACATATTATTCAGAACTTTCTTGTATTTTAGGATTTGGCTGATGAACTTGCCCTTGTTGATGTTGCAGAGGACAAATTGAAGGGAGAAATGATGGATCTTCAGCATGGCAGTCTTTTCTTTAGTACTTCAAAGATTGTCTCTGGAAAAGGTTAATTTTAGTTTTATAAAGTTATTTTCAGAGCTTTAAAAAAGTAATGAAGTTTTACTAAATTGATGTCAATAAATATAAAATTAAAAATAACACTGTCATTAGAACATAATTTATRAGTTTTTAAAAAACAATTATAATTGGAGTAAATTTGGAAAACATTTAAAGTATAAAGAATATTTGAATCTTCTGTTAATGGTTTTATTTACTTATTTCCCTTTCTATGCAATTGTTTTTTACTTAACCAACTATAATATACTTTTTAAACTTGTCATTTTGTCTCACATATTTTGTCAAAATAATGCAGTCTTGAGCAGTTTTTGCAATATTATTGATATGTTTCTTCATATTTTCCACCTGGTTGTCTTTTCTTTTTTTCTTGAGTAGGCTGAAGCCCAAAATAAACTGATGGGTTTTTTTTTCTTTCCAAAATTTTTATTGGTGCATTGTAGTACATAATGATGGGAATTGTTACATATTCTCACCTGTTTCTTTCTGTGTTTATAGAGGACCAAATATGAAGGTATAGTATCAGCCCATAGAATATAGAAAGTGGAGAACTTGGCCCCATTACCATTAACATCATGTGTTGACCAACTAAAAAACCTCAGAGTATTGGGGAAAAATTATTTTATTATATATCAGAATGAATAGTACACTCCTTGGTAATGTGATTTAACAGATTACTCTCTACTAGCAACTTAATTTAAAATGTTAGAAACAACCCATCATAATCATTTTATTATATTGACCTAAAATATATAAATTTATTTAGAAGTTCATTTGCTAATTTTCTAATTGTAGGATAAGGCCTTTCAGTATGTCTCAGTTGATTAAAGTTTTGCAGTGTCTTTCTCACACATGTCCCCCACCCCAGGGCACTTCACCATAGAACCATGTCCCCAGCCCTTTTATATATTTTTTAAATTTTGAGACAAGAGTCTCAGTACGTTGCTTTAGGGCTTCCCTAAGTTGCTGAGGCTGGCCTTGAACTTGTGATCATCTTGCCTCAGCCTTCTGAATCACTGGGATTACAAGCATGCCCCACCAGGTCCAGTTGTGGTGTCTTTCTTAGAGCCCACCAATAATGATCAATTTGATTTCTTTTGAAGTACTAAAAGAAATTTAAAGATACTCTTAAAGCAATCAAGTTATAAAACTCTACAAAACTTTTATGCTTTTTCTACATTTTAATATTTTATACCTGAAAGGATAGTTTTTGAGCAATGTGCTTTTAATATGTCTCTCCAGAGCATTCAATTTAATTTTCATAGAAATACTTTTAGGTTTAATTTATCATCAAACAGTTGACATGAAAAATGAAATTAAGAATAATATAACAAAGCTAGATGTGGTGGCACACATCTGTAATCCCAGCGGCTCTAGAGGCTGAGTCAGGAGAATTGTAAATTCAAGCCAATCTCAGCAGCAGCAAAGTGCTTAGCAACTCAGTGAGAGCCTATCTCTAAATAAAATAAAAAATAGGGCTGGGAATGTGGAMCAATGGTTGAGTGCTCCTGAGTTAATCCCCATTATCAAACAAAAAAACTTTTGCGTAATTATGAGAGAAAAATTTATCAATCCTTAAAGAAATACCAGGTTACTTAACAAAGTGACATGTTTACAGAACAGGCACAGAGAGTTAAGCAGACCACTCTAGCTAGTTTTCACCCTGATAGCATTAGCCAAACCTAGTAAACACCAATTTTCATTTTCACTGTCTCAGGATAGAGGAGGTCAGAGGAGTTGAATAGGAGATTACCCCAAAAGTCTGGGACCCTGATGGACTTTACCATGGATCTGTAAATTTTTTCTTTTTCTTTTCTTCCTTTCTTCCTTTTTTTTTTTTGGTACTGGGATTGAACCCAAGGAAACTTTGCCACTGAGCTCTACCCCCAGTTCTTTTTGTTTTTATTTTGAGACAGCATCTCACTAAATTGCTGATATTGGCCTCAAATGTGTGATTCTCCTATCTCAGCCTCCTGATTAGCTGGAATAATAGGTATGCACTGCCACACCCAGTCAGTAACTTTTTATGTAAAGAACCAGACAGTAAATAGTTTAGGCTTTGTCAGCTATATGGTCCATGTCTCAACTATTCAGCTCTGCTGTTGTAATGCAAAAATGATCATAGATAATAAATAAGCAAGTGGCTATTGCTATGTTCTTTTTTTTTAAATAATGGTGTTTTTAAAAAATTATTTTATTTTTTTAGAGAGAGAATTTTTAATATTAATGTTTTAGATTTTGGCAGACACAACATCTTTGTTTGTATGTGGTGCTGAGGATCCAACCTGGGCTGCACGCATGCCAGGCAGGCGCGCTACCGCTTGAGCCACATCCCCAGCCCTGCTATGTTCTTTTTTTAAAAAATATATTTTTAGTTTTAGATTGGACACATTATTAATTATTTTTATATACTGCTGAGAATCAAACCCAGTGCCTCACACATGCCAGGCAAATGCTGTACCACTGAGCTACAACCTAAGCCCCTATTGCTATGTTCTAATGAAAATGTATGTACAAAACAAGTGATGGGCCAGATATGACTGGCTGGTAGCCATCATCATTTACTAATTCCTGAACTGTGTGTATCCTTAATGTAAGTATGACTTAGAAAGAATTTACTTCTCCCTACTTATGGGAACCATGGAAGTGAAGTTGTTTCTTAGACACTTTAATAGAAGATGATGACTGTTACTAATTTGGATCATCAAGCCAGTTCTTCCACAAATAAAGTTCTAGGAAAAATGAATATCTCACAGTAGGAATAATTAAATCTACAAGAAAATGCATGAAGAAAAACCATTAGGGATGACAAGAACAGTTACTGTAGATATCCAGATTATCAAACATAAATTATAAAATATGGTTATTTAAAGAAATAAAGAAGATAGCATGATACAGGAAAGTATAAAAACAGATTTAAGGGGCTAGGGTTGTAGTTCAGTGTTAGAGTGTTTGCCTCATGTGTATGAGGCACTGAATTTGATCCTCAGCACCACATATAAATAAATAAAGGTATCGTGTCYATCTACAACTTTAAAAAATAAAAAACAGATTTTAAAAATAACCAAATGTAACTTCTAAGTGTGAAATATAATGAAATTAAAAATTAGATACATTTGAAGAGAGAAATAGTAAATACAAAACAGTTACTCAGAAGTCAGTAAGAACTAGATGATATGACAGATTAAGAATCATAGARGATAGTTGGACTGGGTATGTAATTTAGTTGGTAGAGTGATCGACTAGCATGCTTGAAGCCCTGGGTTCAGTTCCCAGCAAACACACACACACACCGCACACAAACACACACACACACAGAAACCATGGAGGATAGAATGACAAACTGTAATATATGTCTAATTAGAAAAGTGAATGAAACAGGAAAAATTTGAAAATATCCCTAGTGGGCTGGGTTGTGGCTTAGTGATAGAGTGATTGCCTACCATGTGTGATACACTGGGTTCAATTCTCAGCATCACATATAAACAAATAAAGGTCCATCAACAACTAAAATAATATATTAAAAAAAAGAAATCCCTAGGTGGACATTGTTAAGGAATTAGACAATACTAAAGGAAAAGAAAGGATTGTAAAAATTGTCAGAGAAACTAGGCACAGTGTGGTACTTCTGTAGTCCCGGTTAGTCACTCGGGAGGCTGAAGCAGGAGGATCACTTGAGCCTAGGAGTTCCAGAGGAGCCTGGGTAACATAGCAAGGCCCTAATTCTTGGAGAAAACAAGCAAACAAAAAAACACAACCCAACAAAAAGACTCTCTTCAAAAACAAGGTCATAGGAACTGCTTTACCATATATCAGGACTCATAAAATTACACGAATTAAGTGCATAGACAAAATATTGGCTATAACACCAATATTATTTAATAAATCAGAAATTTATGAATTTATGAAATTTTAGTTATGGTAATGCCTATCTTTATGGAAAGAAGGAAAGAAAAACCCATACCTGATACCTCCCACAAAAATCAAATCCAATTTAGTTTAAGATCAAAACATGAAAAGCAAACTTTCTGCTCAGACAATAACAATATCTTTATGACCTCAGAGTATGGAAGAATTTCTTAAACACAAAGAAACAAAAAGTATAAACAGTGAAGAAAATTAAGAGTTTGTGTTTATAAAAATACACTATAAAAGAGTGGAAAACTGAGACAAGATATTTGAATCATAACTGACAAAGGAATAGAATTCAGAATAAAAAAAAATTTGTATTAATAAGATAAATACAGCTGGGGATGGTGGTGCACCCCTGTAATCCCAGTAGCTTGAGAGGCTGAGGCAGAAGGACAGAGAATTCAAAGCCAGCCTCAGCAATTTAGTTAGGCCCTGTCTAACTCAGTGAGATCCTATCTCTAAATAAAACACAAAAAAGGGCTGAGGATGTTGCTCAGTGGTCAAGTGCCCTGGGTTCAATCTCTGATATCCCCCTTAAAAAAAAGATGAATGTACATGTACTGTTATGTTGTGTGTACATACAAATATGTAATAACAAATCCCTATGTTATATGTAATTATAATGAACTAATAAAAAGGAAAAAAGATCAATACACATAGCCCAATAGAAAACAGGGAATGACTTGAATATTTTACAAAAGGAGAAAGTCAAATGGCCTATAAATCTAGGAAAAGACAATCTCATTAGTAAACAAGGAAAGGAAGGTAAAAATATCAATATATGATTATACACCAATTATATTGACAAATGTGTGATAACACTGTTTGTTAGAAGGTGGAACAATAGGTGCTGTCAAACATGGCATGTTGAAGTGTCATAGTAAAACTTTTTTTAAAAAATATTTTTATTTTTTTTTAGTTTTCGGCGGACACAACATCTTTGTATGTGGTGCTGAGGATTGAACCCGGGCTGCACGCATGCCAGGCGAGCGCGGTACCGCTTGAGCCACATCCCCAGCCCAATAAAACTTTTTTTTTAAAAAAAGTTCCTCATTACCTGGAGAAGCTGAACATAAAACCCAGAAATTGCACTCCTAGGTGCACATTTACACTAGGATACATATACAAGAATGTATTATGGTTTAATTTATAGCTTGCTTTGTAAGATTATGTAGCAATGAAAATAAATGAACTACAGGACATTAATGTGGATGACTATCAGAGATATATAATACTTAGCTAAAGGAATGTATATGGTTCAAAAACTGCTAAAACTAATATTTAAATATGCATAGGTGACTAAAGCTATTTTTTTAAAGGTAAGGTTATGATTTCCAACAGTCTAAAGAGTTGGTAACCTCCAAATATGAAGGATGTTGATGTACACAGGGGCTTTCAAGGGTTTGGCAGTGTTCTATCAATTCTTGTGGTTAACTTTAATGTTTAAAAATAATTTTAATATATTTCTTATATACTCTTYTATATGAATGATTTACAGTAGAACATTTTGGAAACACATCTTTTAAAAAATATTTTTATTTTATTTATTCATATGTGGTGCTGAGGATCGAATCCAGGGCTTCACACATGGTAGGCAAGCGCTCTACCTCGGAGCCATAACCACAGCCCTTGGAAACACATTTTATGAGCTCTAATGTAAGACAGCAGTGGAATATCATTGATTATTGCAGTGTTAATTATATGTACAATGAATGAGTCCATGTGCTGGAAACAGAAGGTGCTAAGATATTTGTGGAAGGAAGAGTGAAATATGAGCTCAGAACCTATTGTGGAGCTTATGATCAAGTTAGGGGTTTAAGACATAGGCATTGGAAGATAATATGGTGTTATAATGCCTATTTGAAAATTATAGGCAATAAATGCTTTAAAAAATTCTTTTTTTTTTGATTAATGAACATTTATTGTGCATGATAGAACATGTTAGATCCCAAGAGAGATGTAAGGACATGCACATCATAGTCTCTGCCCTCAGACTACTCCTAATATAGTTGGGGAAGCAAAACAGAGGTGTGAGAAGCTAAATAAACAAATGTTACATAACTAGGATGATGCCTTGAGTGTCAATGTTGATGTGTAAGGAAAATAATTTGGAATATCTACTGACAGTTCCTTCTTATAAATGTTTTTAGAAATTTGAAGTAGAAACATAATTGCTTTTCTGCTGGAGAGAATGTTAATAATAGCTCTTGCAAATTACAAAAGACTCCCAGGCATAAATAAACCTAATTTGTGGGGAGCAAAAAAATCAATTATTTAGACCCTTTAAACGCTGTTTCCTAACTTTTTACACTGTACTCAGGGAAAAATGGTAAGAATGTAGATGCAAGGATTCTAGAATTTTCACTGAATTCTAGTATTGAGAATGACAGAATAGCTGATTTGGTAATTAACTTTTCCACCACAAACGACTATAAAATCTGTGCAAATAAATAATATACATTCTTTCCAAGTGAATATATAACATTAGCCAAAATGAACCATAGAGTACAACAAAGCAATTTTCAATGAATTTCAAAGAACTGAAGTTATGTAGTATATATTTTTTGATCTCTTAGAATTATATTAAGGCTCAATGATAGAAAAATAACTAAATAGCACTAAAAGTTTACAAATTAAGTTGCACAGTTCATCTGGGTAATCCATTAATTCAAGAAAATGTTGCACTGGAAATTAGAAAATATTTAGTCTTTAAAATTTTATTTTATAGTATAATCCATTTTGACATATAGTACACAAATGGAGCACAACTTCTTATTGCTCTGGCTGTACATGGTTCAGAGTTACTCCACTAATGTAATCATACATGTATAAGGATAATAATGTCTGTCTCTTTCTACTATCCTTCCCATCCCCACAACCCCACCCCTCCCTTCACTCCCCTTTACACAAACCAAAGTTCCTTCATTCTTCCCCTATCTTCCTCCCCCACTATGGATCAGCATCCGCTTACCAGAGAGAACACTGGGCTTTTGGGTTTTGGGGATCGGCTTATTTCACTTAGTATGATATTCTCTAGTTCCATCCATTTACCTGAAGTGCTATAAAAATTCTTTAAAGAGATTGTGAATTATATGATTAAGAGATGCTTAGCAGAGGAGTTGGTAATTGAAAAAGTACTTGACTATTATAATAAATAAGCATTATATCACATTGGTATTGGATTCAWTAAGTGAAACATTTGTAAGATTGTTTTAAGTACTTGTTCATGGTCTGAAATAAAGTCCCATACAAATAATTTGATGTAAATATATTCTGGCATTTAGAATGCTAAAGCATATACATAAATATATGCTTGAATTCTCAGAGTTCTAACCTTCTGATTCATTGTGGAGTTTGTTTGTTTTGGGGCTTTTTCTGTTGTTACTCAGTATTAAGCCCAGGGGCACTTAAGCACTGAGCCAAATCCCCAGCCCCCCCTTTTTTAATATATATTTTATTTAGTTACGGAGTTTTGTTGAGTTGCTTAGGTCCTCATTAAGTTGCTGAGACTAGCTTTGAACTCAAAATCCTTCTATCCTGCCTCAGCCTCCCCAGCTGCTGATTTTACAGGCATGCACCACCACACTCAGCTCATTATGGTGTTTCTAAGAAGACAGAGATCTGACTCATTGCTTTGTGCCTTAATATCATCTGGGAATGTAGGCTAAAGAGGATGGTAACTTCTTTTATTATAAAATATTTGGAGGTGTCTGTGTGGAAATTGGCAAGCAGTAATGACAAGACTTCCTTCAGTTTATACAAGATGTTACTGAATAGAAAGTCTCGATTTGTAAATGCCGGACATGAAGGTAGACTCATACTTTAATACCAAGAGCAGATGATAGACTTGAAGAGTTAAGGCACAATAATTGTGGCAATCTTGATCCAAATACTGTTTTTTCTGTTTTAGATTACAAAGTATCTGAAAACTCCAAGTTAGTTATTGTCACAGCAGGTGCAAGGCAGAAAGAAGGAGAAAGTCGCCTTGATCTGGTCCAACGTAATGTGACTATCATGAAATCAATCATTCCTTCCATAGTCCGTTATAGTCCTGATTGTAAAATGCTTATTGTTTCAAACCCAGGTGAGTATTTCCTCCTTTCTTTTACTGATAAGGATGATTGTTCATACCATTCCTTCTTTTTGAAACTTCGTTGAGGTAACATTTATGTATAATAAACTGCACTCATGCAATGAAAGTATACATCACAATGACGTTGTTTTTTTATCAAAGGCGTGGCATGGTTCTGGGAATAGAATCCAGGACTTGGCATATGCTAGGCAAGGACTCTACCACAGAGTTACATCCCCAGCCAGTGCAGGAAATTTTGTTAGATATAATCAGTTATGCACCACTGTAATCAAGATTCAGAACATTTCTGTTATTTGAAAATTCTTTTGTGCTCCTTTGCATTTCATCTCTCATTCCATGTCTGGCCTCATTTCCTGGAATTTTATATACCTAGAATCATAGTGACTTAATCTTTCTCCTTCCACCCAACATTACTATTTTGGGATTCATTCATGTTGTTGGGTATACCAGTGGTTTGTTCCTTTTTATTGCTGACAAGTATTCTTTTGTTTATACATTTTAAATACTCATTTCACCTGTTGATAGATACTTAGTTTGCAGCTATTATGAATAAAACTAATATGAACATTTGTATGTAAGTATTTACATGGTCATATGCCTTCATTTTTTTKGGGTAAATACCTGGGGCAATCATGGGTGGGTTATGGGGTTAGTGTAAGTTTAATTATTAGAAACTATCAAAGAGTTTTTCAAAATGGTTGTTCCTATTTATATTCCCACCAGTACTGTAAGAGTTCTAATTGCTTTGCRTCCTTGCCAATATTAGGTATTGTTGGTCTTTTTAATTTTAGCCTCACCGTCTTCATTTTTTTTTTTTTAAACAATTTTTTTTAATATTTATTTTTTAGTTTTTGGCGGACACAACATCTTCGTTTGTACGTGGTGCTGAGGATCGAACCCCGGCCGCACGCATGCCAGGCGAGCATGCTACTGCTTGAGCCACATCCCCAGCCCCYGTCTTCATTTTTGAAGGAAAATTTCTGACACATAATGTGTATATTGGTACTCTTGCTACTGTCCCAGAAATCTCCTAAGTGCTGTTCAGTTTTCTTCATTTTTAAAAGTTGAAGTGAAGGGCTGGGGTTGTGGCTCAGCGGTAGAGCTCTTGCCTAGCATGTTCGAGGCTCTGGGTTTGATCCTCAGCACTACTAAAAATAAATGAATAAAAAATAAAGGTATTGTGTCTGACTACAATTTAAAAATATATATATTTAAAAAAATGAAGTGAAATCCACATAACATGCAATTAATTAAAGTGTACAATTTAATGGCATATAGTATGTTCACAATATTGTGCAATTTTGGTTCTTTGTTCTTTTTCCTTTCTGTTCTTCAGACTGTAATATTTCAGTTTACCCATCTTTGAGTCACTGATTCTTTCTTTTGATTTTTCATTCTGCCGTTGAGCTGTTCTTGTGAATTTTTATTTGTTCCTTTTCCTTTTCATAATTTCTACTTATTGATATTCTCTATTTGGTGAGAAAATGTTCTCATGTTTCCTCGGATTTTTTCCTTTAGATCTTTAAACATGCATTCCTTTAGCCCTTTAAGCATATTTTAAATAGTCATTTAAAGTATTTGCCTAGTAAATCTTTGTCTGGATTTCCTCTGGGATAGTTTCTATAGGTTACTCATTTCCCCTGTGTTTCTTTGTGTGCCTCACAATTTTTTTGTTGGGGGTGCCAGGGTTGAACTCAAGGGCACTCGACCACTGAGCCACATCCCAGTCCTATTTTGTATTTTATTTAGAGACAGAGTCTCACTGAGTTGCTTACTCTTCCCAGATTTTATATATATATATATATATATATATATATATATATATATATAAATATAATGATGTGCAGACAGACATATTTGGTATCTCAAAAGAGGATTTTTGCATTTTAAAATTCTTGTAGAAAACAATTTAACATTTTAAAAACTATATCTTTTCTGGTTAATTTTCTTCACATTGAACTCTAATGACTCTGTATTTGACTCCAAGATAATGTATCTCTCTATCCAGAAAAGCAAATTRTAAAAAGAAGTTACTAGGGGCTGGGGTTGTGGCTCAGTGGTAGAGCGCTTGCCCCGCACGTGAGAGACCCTGGGTTCGATTCTCAGCATCACATAAAAATAAATAAACAAAATAAAGATATTGTGTYAATTTATAACTAAAAAAATATCTTTAAAAAAAGAAGTTACTATGACTCTTTCTCTAACATGAATTGTTCTCCCCAGTGGATATTTTGACATATGTGGTCTGGAAGATAAGTGGTTTACCTGCAAGTCGTGTAATTGGAAGTGGATGCAATCTAGACTCTGCCCGTTTCCGTTACCTCATTGGAGAAAAATTGGGTGTCCATCCCACAAGCTGCCATGGTTGGATTATTGGAGAACATGGTGATTCTAGTGGTAGGTATAAATCTATTGTTATTCTATGACTATCTTTATTATCTTTAATAATGCTTATTTTCTTCAAAATCTATTTTTCTGATGTTTATATAGCTGCATAACCTTTATTTTATTGCTATTTTCCTGGTGTATCTTTTTCTATTTCTTTATTTTACTTTTTTAAAAAAAAGTTTAGTTGAAATAACAATTATACATATTTAGAGGGTACAATGTGATGAATTGATAAATATTAATTATGTAATGATCAAATCAGGATAATTAGCATTATATATCACCTATAAATTTGTAATTTCTTTGTGATGATAGCATTCCAAAACTTTTTTTTGGCTATTGGAATTGACAGTACATTATTGTTAACTATAGTTGCCTCAATGTGCAATAGAGCACTAGCACTTAATCCTATCATAACTTTGTACCCATGAACCTCCTTTTCCTTTTCTCCTTTCCAATCTCTGGTAATAACTGTTGTATTCTTCTATGCTGTTAACATTTTTAGATTCCACATTTAAGTGAAATAATACTGCTTTTGTCTTCCTGTGTCTGGCTGATTTTGCTTATTGTTATGTCCTCTAGTTCTATCCATGTTTTTTGAAAATGAAAGAATCTTATCTTTTTGAAAAAAACCATTTTTTTAGTTGTTGATGGACTTTTATTTATTTATATGTGGTGCTGAGAATTGAACCCAGTACCTCACACATGCCAGGTAAGCATGGATTACTAGCTATGACCCCAGCCTAGAATCTCATCATTTTTTGGGAGTGAATACTATTCTAGTGTGTGTATCCATGTGTATCTTCCATTTTTTAAAAATCTATTCATCAGTTCTTGGATATTTGCAAATCTTGGCTACTGTAAATAGTACTGCAATAAACATAAGTTTATTGTTGTGTCTCTGTGTCGATATCCGTACAGTCAAGCTATTTCTTGAGTATGCTTGTGATTCATTTCTTTTGGATATACTATAGGCCCAGTAGTGGGATTGCTGGACTGTATGCAGCAATTATAATTATAATTTTAATTTTTTGAGGCACCTCCAGGTAGTTTTCCATAATGGATGTACTAATTTATATTTCATTACCTCGATTTCCTCCTTTATATGTTTTCTTTAACATTTTGTAGTTATGGTTATCATTGTTCATTTTTTTTAAAGAGAGAGAGATGGAGAGAGAGAGAGATGGAGAGAGAGAGAATTTTAATATTTATTTTTTAGTTATTGGCGGACACAACATCTTTGTTTGTATGTGACGCTGAGGATCGAACCCGGGCCGCACACTTGCCAGGCGAGTGCGCTACCGCTTGAGCCACATCCCTAGCCCATCATTGTTCATTTTGATTTTTAATCTTCCTAGTTAGAGATTTGAAAGTTTGTGTATCACCATTACAGTAATAGCATATTCTGAATCTGATCATGAATTTACCTCTACAAGTGAGTTTTATATTTTCATGATAGTAATTATTATTCCTTTTGCTTCTAGTAGAAGCAAGTCCTTCAGCATTTCTTGTAAGACTAGTCTAGAGGTGATGAGTTCCCTCATCTGTTGCTTATTATGGGAAAGACTTTTTATCTTTTTTATTTCTGAAGAAGAGCTTTGATAGATAAAATGTTCTTGGCTTACAGTTTTTCTCTTTTGGCCTTCTGAGTATATTATTCCATTCTCTATTGACCTGAAAATTTTCTTCTAAGAAATCTGCTATTAGCTTAGTGGGGAATTACATATAACTTAATAATTTCCTCTTGCAGTTTTTAAAATTCTCTCTCTGGGGCTGGGGTTGTGGCTCAGTGGTAGAGTGCTTGTCTAGCACATTCGAAGCAAAGGGTTTGATCCTCAGCACCACATAAAAATAAACAAAATAAAGGTATTGTGCCAAAGTATAACTAAATAAAAAAATTCTCTCTCTCTTTCTCTCCATTTTAATGATATTTATCTTCTGGTTGAACTTTCTTTCAGATCATAAATTATTTTCCTCATTTCATTGAATTGCCTGTTTCCTCTTACTGATTTTCCCTTAGGATCATTATTCTGAATTTCTTTCCAAGTAATTAGTGAATTTTCCTTTCTCTGGGTTAGTTACTGAGAGTTATTGTGATTATTTGGCAGTGTCATGTTTCCTTGTGTTTTTTCATGCTTCCTTGTGTTTTTTCATGCTTATTGTGTCCCTGCACTGTTATCTATACATCTGGTAGAGTGACTTTTCTTGGGAAATATTTTTACCTTTCCTAATATGTCCCAGGGATTGCTAATATGTCAGTTGGGTAGGGTATGTTGTGTTTGATTCTAGGTAGGCACAGCAGTATAGTTTCTGAACAGTTTCTTCAGCTCTAATCAATATCATTGATGCCTATGAGTGCCTTGGTGGCCAAGGCAGCAGGAGTCTGTGCAGCTATTCTTCTGAGTGTGGCCTCCCCACTAGGGATGGGGACAGGGGCACTATACAGTTGTGTACACAAGGGCTGTTCAAGAATGACCTCCATTTGAGGGGCTGGGTTGGAGGCTAACTGGTCTCTACCAGGTGGCCTGTGGCTTAGTCTGCACTGGGAATGAGATCACTACAAGATCAAGGGTATGAGGGGCTGTCTGGGCTCTAATACAGGGAACATGGCTATTTTGCTGGGCCTAGGTTCTATACATCTGGGGTCGGGGTGCTATACCTACCAGTGTGAGCATAGTACAGTGGCACTGGAGCCTTGAGGATGGGATGATATGATGAACTATGGCTCCCAGAGACTGCCATTTTAGGCTTGATGGATGTCTCCTTCCCAGGGATTGTCTTTATCACTGGGAAGGGATGTATTTGGGGAAGGAGCAATATTATGGATATTTGGCCTTCTTCCTCACTTCYTCTTCCCAGGCCACACTATTTGGGGTTTTTTCTATATCTTACACATGAAATATATAGCAGTTTTTAAAATCAATCTGAATATTTGTCTTCTCTGGAGCATTTTAATTTATTGTGACTTGGGGCTGGGGATGTGGCTCAAGCGGTAGCGTGCTTGCCTGGCATGCGTGCGGCCCGGGTTCGATCCTCAGCACCACATACAAACAAAGATGTTGTGTCTGCGAAAACTAAAAAATAAATATAAAAAAAAAATTTATTGTGACTTTTCAACATCTTTATTAAGATATAATTCACATATTATAAAATTTACTCATTAAAGATGTACAATTCACTGATTATTAGTATATTTGCAGAGTTACATAGCCATCACTACAATATAATTGCAGAATATTTTCATTATTAGGAAAAGAAGCCCTTGTTCTTACCCCCAGCCCTAGGCAACCACCAGTCTGCTTTCTGCCTCTATAGATTTGTTTATTCTGGATTTTTCATATAATTGAAACAATATTGACTTTAACTATTAAGGCACCACCAACCTCTCTTCTGAATTTAAACCTTTAATCTCTGATACATAGTTACAACATTGTACTTCTTACACTATTCTCTAATTGTATCTCATGTATAAATCTATTTTTTTCAAAATGACAGTGAACCTACTGAAAACAGGGATCATTTGTTCATTCAGTTGTTTAGTCAAAATATTTAATGTACCTAGTTCCAACCACCTGGGAGGCTGAGCAGAAAAATCATTTGATGCTAGCCTGGACAATACAGTGAAACCCTATCTCAAAAAAAAAAAAAAAAAGTGTTCTTCTCTTTTCTTTATACTCCAAGAATTATAATAAATAGTTTTTATTTGAGTTGGACAGATACTTCTTAGTCCAATTCCTTAATCTGACTCTGTTGCCTGTGTTTATTATTCTAACTCATAACTCAGCTCTTCTTCCTGAAGAGGCAATTAAAAGATAGTTTTCCCAGAAATATCTTAATATCTCACATTTAATATTCCATAATTTTATTTTTAGAAAAACATTTTTGACTGGCATTAATTTCAATATAGTTAGTATTCTATTTGGAATGATTTTCAAATTTAAAACAAAATTTTATTTATTTAATTAATTTGGGAGGGGGTTGTCAATGGACCTTTATTTTATTTATTTATTTACATGTGGTGCTGAGAATTGAACACAGAACCTCTCACCTGCCAGGMAAGCTATCTACCACTGAGCCAAAACCCCAGCTGTAGGGGCCTGGGGAAAAATAAATAAACAAAAATAAAGGTATTGTGTCCAACTACAACTAAAAAATAAATGTTTAAAAAAAACCTCCCGTAAAAATTTWAAAAAAAATATTTTTTGGTAGTTGTGGATGGATAGAATGCCTTTATTTTACTTGTTTATTTTTATGTGGTGCTGAGGATTGAACCCAGTGCCTCATGCATGCTAGGCTAGTGCTCTGCCACTATTCTACAACCCCAGCCCACCAAAACAAATTTTTAAAGTGTACAATTAGGGTATTTTCTTTGTAACAATACAAAAACCTTAGAAAGCTTTAGGTTTGATTACCATCTTTCTTTATATATGTAGTTATTAATTTCTTACCTGATTCCATCCTACTTTTGTATCCTCTAAACTAGTTATAATTTTTTGAATAATCAATGTTTGGTTTAATTTATGTACATTTGCTAATTTTTATTGCTTTATGTCCTGCATCTAACTCCTTCCTCTGATTTTTATTTTTCTTCCTGAACTGTGTCCTGTCCTGTCAGTGTTGTTTATATTAAGGTGTTACCTCATTCCAGAATGATGGTTTAACTGGATATGATATTCTGGATTGGCAGTTATTCCCCCTTAGTTCTTTGTTACTATTGAAAAGCAAGGTGTTAATTTGTTATTCTTTTCCCTCTAATTTCTTATAATATTGTATCTTTCTTATTGGTCCTTATTTTTTGTGGAATCTGCATTTTGCATATTGCTTAAAAATGTCTCCTCTCCCACACAGTTACCAATTCTACTATATTTTCTCTAACACTTTATAATGTTATTTCTTTTAATTCCCTCTTTTGTCTATTTGAAATGTATTTTTTAATATATGGTGTAAGATTGTAATTTAACTTAAAAAAACAGTTAACTAAAATAACTCATGCAATATTGGCCAGAAGAATTTATTCTGAAATACATTTTTTTTAGTGCCCTTGTGGAGTGGAGTGAATGTTGCTGGTGTTCCTCTGAAGTCTCTGCAACCTGACTTAGGAACGGACTCAGACAAGGAACAGTGGAAAACAATCCATAAACAAGTTGTTGAAAGGTAATATAATAATCAACATTAATAAATTTCACAGCTAGGCGTGGTGGTGCATGCCTGTAATCCCAGAGGTTTGGGAGGCTGAGATTAGGAGGATCACAAATTCAAAGCCAGCTTCAGCAACAGTGAGGCACTAAGCAACTCCTGAGCTGCTGGGATTACAGGCACGTGCCACCGTGCCCAGCCCCAGCCCTTTTTATTTATTTATTTTTAAATTTTATTTTGAGACAGAGTCTCACTAAGTTGCCCAGGCTGGAATTCTCCTGTCTCAGCCTCCTAGAGAGCTAGGATTACATGTACCACTATGTCTGGCTTCTGGCCAAATTTTTCCATAGTTGATTACATTAATCAACTTCCCAGATATCTTTTCACTTTGGTAGTCATTACTGATATGTTTAATTTTCTTTAATTTCTTTAAGGGAATCTGCAAACTCTGGTAAACCACATAGCTTTGAATGAGAGATTAAACTAATGTCTAGCAAACAAAACATTAGTTTTATAGTATTGTTTCCTATAATTTTCAACAAGGTCCCCTTACTGGATATTTTCTGTAGTAAGGACCATTGAAGACCATTTCCCGGTAAATTCAGGAATCTATGTGGCCTGGAGTCATAACTAGAGTTCAGCCACTAAGAAACATGTTTTAACCAAGTGTTATGAAACAGCCATTTACTTCCCATAGAGATGTCACAGTGTTGGACTTTTCATCTTTCCATTCCCTAATAATTATACTACAAAGAATGTTAGTCCCTTTTTAGTTTGAAACATTGTTTCTTCTCTATTTATTTTGTACTGGGGAGTGAACCCAGACGCCCTTAACCACTGAACACATCCCCAGCCACTTTTTGTATTTTATTTACAGACAGGGTCTCTCTGAGAAGAGCCTCACTAAATTGCTGAGGCTCGCTTTGAATGCTCAGTTCTCCTGCCTCAGCCTCCCAAACTGATGGGATTACAGGCCTATGCCACCATGCCTGGCTGAAACATTGTTTCTGTAAGGTAACAGTGATTAAATTCACATTTCCTACTGAAGTTCTGTGTGATTTGAATATCAAGTAGTGCAACACTTTACAGATCAGATCTCATTCCGTTAATGTTCTCAAGTTGCCATGTCCAAAATTAAATTACTTGCTTCTTGACCATTTCGAAAAGAATCTATACTTATAAACAATCCTCAGAGCCAGGTGTGGTGGTGCTCACCTGTAATCCCAGCAGCTCCGGAGGCTAAGGCAGGAGGACTGCAAGTTCAAAGCCAGTCTCAGCAATTTAGTGAGGCCCTAAGGAACTCAGTGAGACCCTGTCTCTAAAAAAAATTAAAAAAAAAAAAAATGGTTGGGGATGTGGCTCAGAGTGCCCCTGGGGTTCAATTCCTGGTACCAGGAAAAAAAAAATCCTCAGGATTGTATTTGTCTAAAAGCTTTTATTTATTTATTTTTTTWAAATTACATTATTAGTCTCTGATTTGCCAGTCCTAACCCAAAATGGCAGGGGAGAGACATCATGATTTAATAGATGTTTCTTTCTGTCCTAATAGAGCATTCAGTTTATAATATAGATTGGTTTTGGTTTTAAAATACCTGCCTTGATACTGCTTGTTTTTTATTCTCTTTGCCCTTGCTCTATTAAGAGCTATTTTCTCTATCAATTTTAAAATATATAATCTAAATTTTTATATGTTTTTTTAAATTTTTGATTTTAATGTATTACTACATGTTAATGGGGTTCAATGTGATATTTTAGTACATGCATATGACATGCACTGATCAAATTCATCCTCCCTTTATCTATCTTCCCCTCTTTCAACCTCTAGTAATCACTATTCTACATTCAGATCGACCCCCTTTTTTTCATCTTTTCGTATGTGAAAGAAAACATGGTTCTGATTGTTCTGTGTCTGCCTTATTTCACYTAATATCATGTCCTCTAGTACTATACATTTTGCTGCAAATGACAGGACTATAATCTTCTTTATAGCTGAATAATAGTCTTTATTTTCTTTATCAATCATCCATTGATGGGCACTTAGGTAGATTCCCTATCTTAGCTGTTGTAAATAATGCCACAATAAATATGGTGTGCAGAATTTCTTTTGTATGCTGATTTAATTTCCTTTGGATATACACCCAGAAGTGGGATATATGAATCATGTGGTAGATGTGTTTTTAGTTTTTTGAGTATGTTTAATGCTGTTTTCCATAATTTACATTCCTACCAACAGTGTATGAGATTTCCTTTTTCTGTTCATCCTTGCCAGCATTTGTTATTTATTGATTGATGGATAATAGCCATTCTGACTGGAGTGAAATGATATCTCATTGTTGTTTTGATTTGTGTTGCACTGATGGCTAGTAATACTGAGCAGTTTTTCCCCATATATTTCTACTTTGCCTCCTCATTTGGCAGGGGGCGGAGGGGGGAAGTACTGGGGATCAAACCCAGGGACATTTTACCAATGAGTTACATCCCCAGTCCTTTATATTTTTAATTTTGAGATATGCCTCACTAAGTTGCTGAGGCTGGCCTTGAACTTGTAATTTCCCTGCCTCAGCCTCCCATGTCTCTGGGATTACAGTTGTATGTCACCACACCTGGTTTGTATTTCTTCTTTTGATAGTGTCAGATCATTTGCTCATTTTTAATTGATTACTTGGTTTTTTTTGTTCAGCATTTTGAGTAATATATTCCAGGTATTRTTCCTTTGTTAGATGGATAGTTTCTCCCATTCTGTAGGTTGTCTTTTTACTTTGTTGATTTTTTTTGCTATATAAACTTTTAAAAATACAGTCTCATTTGTATATTTTTAATTTTTGTTTCCTGTGCTTTGGGGGTCATATCCCAGAAGCCATTGCCTATACCAGTATCTTAAAAGTGTTTCCTCTGTTTTTTCTAGTAATTTCATGTTTTCAGGTTTTAAATTCAGGTCTTTGATCCATTTTGAGTTGAGTTTTATGTAGGGTGAGAGTCAGGAGTCATGTTTCAATTTTCTATATTTGCATCAACAGTTTTGTTTTCATCAGTATGATTAACAGCAACAAAAGGATTATATTTTCTTTATCAATTTTCTTCTTTCTTTGAACCGATCTTAGTTATTCCTGAAAGATAGCTGTCATCCAGATCTCACTGGTCTGGATTTGTCCCCAGTTATCTAATGCATTACTTTGTTCATTTTAATTCATAGACAGTAGGCAATTATCCAACCAATTACTAGGCAAAACCTCTATCCCTTTCCTTTTACTTACCCTACAGAKTCTTAGTCATATTGAATGGAGGGCCTAAAAATGCTTTTGACATGAATCAGCATGGTCTCTAATAGAGGCCCTGGTTTTGAATTGATAGTAAAAGCACAAGACAACACAATAGGCATATGGTCTGTATATACACCAGCTTTATACAACCATGTGTATTATGTGTAGTCCTTTAAAATTTCCTGAGTGGTTATAAGATCTTCTGATATAAATGATGATGCTGTATACTATGTTTCCTGAATCATTTCTTAAATCTAACTAAATTTAGGGCTAAGTTGAAACCTCTTTGTTCTGTGAGTTTRTTGGTCCAAACCTGAGACCACTGTTGGAGGCAAAGCAAAAATATAATACATGTTTATTGTAGAAAATTTGGAAAAGCATAGAGAAGGCTCACCTGTAAACCTTTCATTTAAAAATAATCATTATTAATAATTTGGTGCATTGATACCATTCTAAAGTTTTGATAGAATTTTTTTTTTTTAGCTATAGTTGGACACAATACTTTGGTTTATTTATTTTTATGTGGTGCTGAGGATCAAACCCAGAGCTTCACATGTGCTAGGCAGGCACTCCACCGCTGAGCCGCA